CTCGGCTTCAACATCAACCTGACAACCCGCGCAATCACCTACATCCAACCTTCACAACCTTGGAAAATCCGTGACTCCACTTCCGCTGGCAGCAAACGACTAGCCCTCTCTGGGCTTGCATCCCGCTTGTGCACCATCTACAAGTACACCTACCCGCCCACTGCAGCTGCCGCCGCGGCTGAACACTTGATCAACCTGTACATCGCCAAAGGGCCCGCCGCCGCAGACTGCCGACGATTTTGAAGACAAAAAGAACCACCGGCTGGTCAGGGAGCGCCGCAAAGGGGCAGCATGCGTGTGTGTCACCCTCCGTATCTAGGAGTTTGTTTGGCGTTCACTTCTACCTTTATGCAGGGGAGTGGGACTAGCCTGTTTGGATGCCAGCGCATGACATCGCGACGCTGGCCAACGAAGCTAGTGATGTCATGGGAAGCGGTCAGAGACGTCTGACTGTGTACTGCTGACCTTTTCTACACGCTGTGACTCCAATGTTCCTTTTTTGTTCCCACGGTACTTCCCCCAAACCGCAGCCTTCCGCAATCACGCGTCAACATTGTTGAACACTTCAGTTGAGCTGAATTTTGCGCCTTTCCGTTCCCACATCCATTTCACCGTGGATTCTGACACTAGCCCTGTGACTAAGTGACTAAGTGTGTGTTTGTGTGTGTGTGTCACACCCTGGTTCTAAGGGTTTCACAAAGACATGCAGGGGCACTGAGCACTCCTTGGCAAACTCAGTGCAACGAAGCTATGCCTTGGAGTGGGAAGCACGGATTGATCACCCGTGTGTACCTGCAAGAACTTTTTACAAGCTGTCCAATCCTCTTTGTTTGTTTCCATGGCGGTTCATGATACTTTCCCCCAAACCTACTCTTCCCCAGCAGCTGTGCCGCACCGACGTTTGACACCGCCGACCTTGTGAGCTGCAGAGATGCAACAACTTTTGTTAAACAATACCTTTTCACGGACTCTGCCACCTTGCCGTTCCACCGCCTTTTTACCTGGGAATTGAGTGTAACTGAAAACCAATGTCGAAGTGTGAGCCGCTCAGTCTTCCCACTTGGGTGCTGGGTGTGACCCTCCGAGAGGAGGCGCCGACGCCATTCCGGATTTCACTGGTCCCTCACAATTATAACTGTTCTTCCACCTTTTCAATCCTATCACTGAATTAACGGATTTTCGAGCCGCCGGGCTATAAACGATGGACCTCCCTCCAGAATAACTGATTCACTCCGTATTGCATAGTCATGAAGTTGTTTACCGCATTTCCCAAATTTTAACCCGCAGCCATTTGATCAGCTCCCACACGCTCTACGTCAGTTCGCACTGCATTCCACGCCACGAGTTCACCTTAGCTTCCCTCATTACCGACGCATTAGAGCACAAGAATCTTTCAGCATTTTCCACTTTTCTTCTATTTACTTCCGCTGCCGTGCCGCGCCGGCGCCATCTCTGATTTTTGGGTTCTCAGCGGTGGGCTTCTCGTGCGCATCTACAAGGCCCAACCGGCCCACTACATCACGGACGATTCCATCTACCAGGATGCATTGCCCGAAGCTGCTCGCATTCTACAGAGCCTCCGTCCTGGCGAACACGATGCTGCCATCGTTCAGGCCGGCGAAGATGACCAAGCCAAAGGCTTTTGCGGCCCACCTTTGACCTGGGCCCAACTCTGCCAGGAACTTTCCCGTTTCCGGCTGATTCGGAGGTTTTGCATCAAGCAACCGTCTGGCAAGTTGCGTGTGATTGACGACGCCGCGGACGGCGGCCAGAGCGCCCTGAGCTCAGACGCGAACAAGCTGGACCTACGCACAAGCATCCAACCAGGTCTACGCGTCCAACTGTTGTGGCAGGCAGCCTCTTCGTCTGCCCACGCTTCGGCGTTGTTGCAAGCTGGTATTTGGTCTGGTGGCGAGGACCTGCCCAATGCCCACCGCTACGTTCCTATGAAGCCAGAGCACAGCAACATGGCCATTGTAGCCTACTATGACCACCACGTTGGAGCCCCTGCAGCGCAGCTCGAAAACTGGATCCAGAGCTGGTTGGGAAAATTCTTGATTTGAAGAGTGCGTACAGGCGAGTTCCCATCTGTGAAGACCACCACTTGAAGTATGCTTTTTTTTAGTGTGTACAACCACGAGGCGAAGAGAGCTGAAATATTCCAAATGGCCACCGGTGCAACTCATTCTGTGTACAACTTCCTTTGACTGGCGCGAATGATCCATGCCATTGCTGCAAGAGGTTTGTATATTACCAACGCAAACGTTTATGACGATTTTGTGCTGCTTTCGCGACCTGGAAGTGCAGTATCGACGAACCATGCCATGGAGCTGCTCTTTTTGTCGACTGGTTGGGAATACGCCAGAATTTTCCGAGATCTGCCGCGCGCTGGGAGTTGAGTTTGACCTTAGCAAATCTGGAGAACGCCTCATGAACATTTACAACACTGAGCAACGGCGACAAGATCTCGTCCTGAGGATAGCAGAAGTTTTGAAAGCGGAGAGCTGAGCAAACGTGATGCGCTTGTCCTCAGAGGACGCCTTGGCTTCGCTGCGCGGCCGCTTGGGAAACTTAACGCTCAAGCGCCTGAAAGACCATGCCTACTCACGACAGAAGGCGCTGAGCTGTGAGACATCTCAAGCGCTTGTTGCAATGAAAACTAGATTGGAAGCTGGGAGACCTGTTGAAGTTGCAGAGAAAGACATGGAACAATGGTTTGTTCACACCGACGCTGCCTATGAAAGAGACGCAAAAACCGGAGGCCTCGGAGTGAACTCTCAGAGGGGCCGTGCGTTGCTCGGTTTGGGTTCAGGTTGAATTTTGAAGATTGCAAGTGCTTCGGCGCAGAAGCAAAAGATACAATAACTTGCGAGCTAGAGCTAGCTGCAGCGGTACTGGCCCTATCGTTCTGGGGGGCGGTTCCTTAAGGGGAACCTGGATCCTTCTTGGTTTGGAGACAATGACAGCGCGAGGTTTGCCCTGATTCGAGCCTGGGGATAGGTTTTTGGGCAGAAGCACTTTTGGACTTCCATCTTCTCATGGAAGCTGAACTGATCACTAAGGGTTGGTTCTCGAGAGTTCCGACCAACGTCAGTGATTTCCCATCACGGTTGAGTCCACACCCATTTTGGAGCGCTGAGCTTGAATGCTCTGACCTTGCGCGTGACGCTTTTTGCAAATTTAAGGATTCGTGATTCGGTTGTTCACTTCAAGGGGATCCACAAAGAGAATTGGGGTAGGACAAATCGTGGCATCCCCTTTCAGTGAAAAGAGCACGTTGAATTTCACTTTCAGTCTCGAGACACCAAACGTGGAAGTGACGACGCCTTTCGTTGCAAACGACAGTGTTGTCAAATCCATGCTTTAGAAAACTTTCTCCAACCTCCTCTTGGCAATCTCTGTGATCTTGATCCTCTCATCTTGCAGCTTTTGGGCTGCTTTCAGGATCTTATCATCATGTTGCTTCATTTGCTTCATCACGGCTTCTTTCGCATTTTGCAATGGTGCGGCTAATTTGTGCAATTGTGTCTCCAAATCCACCACCTCCTCCTCCCGGTGCGACAAAGCCACATTGATTGCTTCCATCCCTGCCTAGTGGCAACATTCTTCCTGTTGGGTGATGGGAAACTGAGCATACCTATCAGCCCCCATTGTAGCAAATCGACCGATATGATCTCAATCGCTGCTCTGCAAGTCTCAGATTCCTATTCCAAACTCTTCAAAGCAACACATGGATGTTGATTTGCAGGGATAGATGTATATCCAGCACCTTCTTTGCACGTCCAATATCATCGATTTCCTCAGGCCTTGTTGTCAATGCCCGGTATCCCGTATGCAATATACCCAATTACCACTGAAATGGACCAATTTGCTTATCATTTGGTCCCATTTAAGTGCAACGCGATCCCAAGACTGTGGTCTGATCTCCCACACCATCAGCCTTTATTGCGCTTCATGTTCAGAATCTCCAATTGCCAACACCAACTCCAGCTCTTCACTCATCAGGCCTCGATCAAACAATAGCTCTTGCTTCGTGAACTTTGAGTGGGAATTGTTCCTTGTTGCTTTCCCTCGAAAGAGTTCCGCGCCTCATTCTCAGCTACACTAAACACATCACCTTGACACCTATACGTGCTACTGCCTGCCTGCCTGCCTGCCTGCCCATTTGTCCCACATAGTGGTGAACACCCCATAGCTGGACCAAATTAGATTAAGTGGGGGAGGTTCTTAATAGTGAATGCGCCATGAATTTGAATGATTGATAAACCTTGTGATCCCGTTCATGTTTTCTTGCAATTTTCTTTTCAAAGAAAGGCTCATGGGGCAACTCATGCTGGAGGTTCCCACAAAGATTGTAAAAACACGTTGTTTTTTTCCTCGACAGTATTTTTTTATTTTCATTCTTGCCGTTGATCGCGAAGATGGCTGCGCGCGAAGTTCAAGATTTAGAGGTTCGTTTGGGCTTAACTAAGTAGCCCTATTAACTGAGTAACCCGTGCTTAGCTAAGTAGCCCATACTTAAGTGAGGAGTCCTTACTCAGCTAAGTAGCCCTGGCAGGCTCGAGAGGGTGTCGCCGATTTGTATTTCTATCTTTTAAGCATGGCTTCCCGCTCCCAAGCAAAATTGATCTTGAAATTATCATTGTTTATTGTTTACGCTTTGTTTGTTCTTAAACATTCTTTCTTTGGATATGTTTTAGAACACACAATCTGTCACAATATGTGTTTTAACAAATTGCAACAATTTTTTGACTGGCGTATTTAACAATTTTTGGTAATGTTTCAATCACGTTTGAACGTGTGAGTTTTTGACAACTTGGACAAACTGAGGGCTCCAGAGCGCAGCGCCCCTCTCTGTTGTGTTTCGTCTCCTTTCCACATCAAACACACAATGCCCACATGCTTTGTACTTCGATTTTAGTATGTTCTTTTTTTACAAGTCCTTTAGTGTTTGCCTGGGCTTGAGAGCCACGAGCAACATTTTGCACACCAGGATATATCACTAAACCTTTGACTCTAATGTTTAACTTTGATGACTGTTCTTGTGGAGCTGTGTTCTAGATATGCGCGGAAGCTGAAGCCTCACTTGTCAGATGGAGCTCCTGCCAGGCTTGGTTGTGGAGTTGAAGCTCACAGTAGTGGAGGGCGTGCTACCATATTTTCAGGAAGATGAAGAGGAGAAGTGGATCTTGTTCTGGTCCCCCGCAATGCAGGTTCCACGCTGTAAGACCCCTGTGCGGACCACTAAATTCCGTCGGACTCGTGCCCGGTGGCTGATGAAGGAGGGCAGCTCACGTGGCAGTTGCCTCAGATTTGCAGCGCACAACCACTTTTCCTTCCACTTTTGACAAGTAAAAGGGGCTGCCGGTCATTCAATGGTACACTTCTAGAACACTATAGCTGATCGTCGTTGCTCTCCGCTCAAGTGAATGCATGGCAATGTGGTTTAGCCTGCAGCGGGTCGCGGACTTTGTGTTTGTCTTTTCCGACCTCTCGAGCCGTGCTTCGCGCCCTATCCATCGTGCTTCCAGCTGCTTGCCTTGGGTCGCCTTTGGATTCCTCTTGGGATTGCTTTTTGCCATCTCTTGTGGCATCTTCATTGCTTTCCACTGCCTCTCCTGGCAATTCAGGCATCCTCATTGGCCCCAAGCTTCTCGAGGCTTCTCTCCCTCTCGAAAGGAGAGCTCGCCTGGCAGCCTGCGCTGTGGATGAGCCTTCCCATCACCTAGAGTGACATTGATCAACTCATTGGTGCTTTGAATAGATTGAGCTTGGCTCTTGAGGCTTCATCGACATCAAGTTCCTCGACTACACCTGTTTTTGTGTGGTGTCCATCGCAGGTTGGGAGTTGGTTGAACCCGGTTGAATCCACTTCGGAACAGCCCCACAAGGTCAGCCTGGAGTACCGGCGCATCTTCGAAGACGGTCCACAGCCTGTTCCAAGCGACTTTCTGACTCTTGCAGCTGGAAAGCTGTCTTCAGCAGCCGGAGACCCTCGAGATCGAGTCATCAGAGCGTGGCGTGCTGGGTTCTGGGTGTGGGCGGCTGTGGCACCTCCTTTCTCTGCCAGATACTCAGTGGATCATTGTGAACTACCCTCATGCCTCTGGACCTATCCGGGTGAGGAAGATTGGTGATCTTCGACAGCTTCTTGTCTTGAGGGTTCGCTTTCCTCACCGCGATCCAGATCTTCTGCGCCTCTTGCGGCATTGATACTCCTGGAGTCAAAGAGATCTTGGCTCTTCTCTCCATGGCGGTCGAGCTGCTTGTTGCGCCGCCCTATACCAGAGAATATCGCATTCTTACCTAACAGGACACCAAAGCCGACCTCGACCAACCCCCAGTGGTGCAATAGTCTGGACCGATGGAGATCAAAGTACTTGACCATGGAAGTCAAGGGTCGTCGGCCCCTCTGCCAGTTCGAGCTTGACCTCTCTGTGGACCTCTCCCACCCCTCTCCGCCCCCCCGACCAGTAGCGCTTCCCCTTAAATCCTCGGTGCGTCAGCTGATCAGTAGCGCCTCCCCGTAATCCTCGGTGCGTCAGCTGATCAGGTACTGAAACTCTTCAATTATCTCAGATGGCCCACCCTATCTTCGTTAGTGTCGGGCGCAAGCCCGACCGCTGCTCTTCACTAGCAGAACCTGTGTAGCGGGCGCGCGAAGACCGCGCAAAGTACAACAAGGCGGCATTTTTCTTTCCTTTGGAAACAGTCCACTCTTTTTTTCAGACGAACGACTCTAGCGCCTCCCAAAAATGCTCGAAGCTGCAATCCGCTTTTGCCCGTCTTCGGATCCCCGCCTGCACTGCTTCCCTTTCCCTCCGCTCTTCTGGTTGTATCCCCAATGTTTACCTTCCCCTCAACCACCCTGCTGGGTGTTGCCCGTGCTGCCAGACGCGCCTTCCAGTCATGCCACGTCCATCAGCAAACGCGCCGGAAATCTCTCACCCCAGGCGTTTCCTCCAGCGCATCTGATGGTCTCTCCCATCCACGGCCCTCCATCTTCTCCCGCTTCTTGTTGTTGTTGTTGTTGTTGTTGTTGTTGGTCGTTTCAAAGCGGCGTTGGTGCCATTACTGCCTTGAGGGCCTCTTGGATGCCCTGCAAACCGTTTCTCCTTCCGCTTGCAGAGGCAGAGTTTCCCAGAATCCAGCCTTCAGTGTTTCACTCTCCTTTTCCTTGTCCTCCCCTTCCTTCAGCAGGGGCCAGGCCGGGCCAGCTGCTCTTCCTCCTCGGCGCTCTGCATCAGGCCTCCAATTTCGCTGCCGTGGGGGCCAGCAACTTCCTGAAAAGGGAAAGTGGCCTTGGCTGCTTCTGCTCATAACCTACGCGATTGTTTTCCTCTTGACAGGCACGCTCGTTAAATGCTACACTTCTCGATTTGTGCACCCGACTCGAGTTTCTATCAACCCCTTTTTCCATGGTGCAAGCGGAGTGTGACGAGTCATGAGTAGCAATTACTTGGAAATTGTTTGTTTTCAATAAAACAATCTTGGCCAAGGTTGTTGGGCAAAGTTTCGACGTGGTGTGATGTGGGCACGCGCTTTCTTTATGAGGTTTGGGATCTCAATTCAACGCAGTTGCGTGGTTCGGGCCTATGACAAATTTCTTTTTCTGTGGCTTGAACATTTTGGCCAGAACCACATCCCTAGCGTGGGGACGCTATGCGCTTTGGTCATCGCGCATCAACGTTTGCCCGACAAGGGGGACGTGGCTAAAGCTTGGGCCGAGGAAGCGAGAGAGGTACTTGGAGATCCCTTGCAAGAATGGCCTTTGCCAGCGCATGACTTCATCGATGCAGTTCACCGATGGGGTCGCTGTGGCTAATTACAAGGAATAAGTTTACCAAATATCCCGTTTTGGGAATGGAATAAATGCAGCAAATACATTTTTGGTTTTGTCTTGGTGTTTGTTCAGGTTCCCTCCGAAGGGAGGAGGCCGTGGAACTAATCCTTGAGATTGAGACAGCGCTTGCAGCACCACCAGAACTCAAGGCGCACAAGTGACACTTTGATTCTACCACTCACTGGCGCAGGTCTGATTGGTTGACCCACGAATATGTTGGAGATACACAACATAGAAACCACGAATCAGAAACCGTCTTCGACCAATTCAAGAATAACCGCTTGGCCTATAGCTTCGAATGTCCGAATGACAGACTCAAATCATCCAAACCACTTCCAAGTGGACGCCTCCATACGGCGCCAAGACATTCAAAACAGAATGACACACTGCCTGCTTTCTGTCGAGGACAATGTAGGAGAGGATGCTCGCGCGCCTGAGAAACATGTGGAGGCAGGATAAAGGCAGTTTGGTTTCAAACCCAGCTTGGAGACAATCAAGACAGAAGGACATATGGTTTCTTTCTTTCTGTCCAGAATGTACATGAGAAGCTGGTAAAGTCTGGGTGAAGGCAGTTTGAGTTGAAAAACCACTCCAAGCGAATGAAGTGAAGCAGTGACAACGTGTTTCCTTGCTTTCGAGGACACTTTAAGAGAGTATGCGCCCGTACCTGAGAAGCAGGTGGAGGCTGGGGCTGAAGCCAATTTGACCTGATAACAGTTTCAAGACAATGAAGATAAATAGAATCAGTTTCCTTCCGTCGAGGACAGTGTCTGATTGAAAGGTAGTTATATAGTTGGATTCGGTAAGCAACTCCAAAACAGGATCCAATTTTGGATATGCGTCCTTTCTTTTGTTTGCAAGCAGTTGCTTCTGTATTTTCCTGTTCTTTTCAGCAGGAGTGAAGGCCAAAGGCAGCCACGAAGGGTGCAAACCATGCCGTAGAACTGCCTTGCGCAACCTCACAATCACACATATTTCCAGAAACTGCATGGTTTTGCGCATGCAAGACACACATTATGTACATCTTCGTCCGGATGCTCCTTGCAGGAGTGCTGGGTTCTTCCTGTACAGTCACGCAGTCCCCATACTTGGAGATTGGCCGTTCCAAGCCCAAAAGAGAAGCATGTTGGGTGGGCATGGCAGTAGCAGATTTTGGACCACCAGCAGTCGGTTGCAATTGCTGCCTGCTGCCCCCAAAGATGCCCCACATAGACAACTTCCCCTCACAAGATTCGAGCTTTCGCTATCGACAAGCTCGAGCAATTCGGGAGGGGATTTACTGCTGAAACCTGCTTGGGGAGACTCGAAGATACGAACCCCTCGGGGACATCTTCTCCACCAAGAAGAACATAGTGCTTTTATGTGCTTTTCATTTTTGTCCCTCGAAAAGCCAGTTCTGATTCTAGAGCCTGGAGGTAGGGAAGACCCGTACTTCCCCAATCGGTGTGGGTCTTCTTCCCCCCCCCACCCACCAACCTGGTTTGGGCGTGCTCCGCATGGTCGACCTTCTCTCAGTTGCCGGGCACAAATTGAGTGATTTGAGTGGCTCACTGGGTGAATGTTCGTGATGAAGTAAGAGGTACCAGACACTTACCCTTGCACAAGCCTCCCTTTGCCGAAAAAGCACTTTGTGCAGGGCGCAGCTGCGGATAAGACTTCATTGGCGTTGAAGAGAAGAGCGCATCCAAAGCCCAAGACGAAGCCCAAGGCGCAGAGTCTTGAGAGTTGAGCAGCAAGCGTTGCATCTGTTGAAAGTTTCTGAGATGTTTTCTACGCATAGACAAGAATAACCCTCCCTAACTAGCCAGTTTTGGAATATACTGTAGACACATGCCGGCTTCAAGTCTGCGCAAGTTTCATTTGCTTCTGTGTCCAATGCGCATTGGAGAATGAGATTTTGACAAGGGCATCCACACAGCTCAGGGTGAGGAATTCATTGGCTTTGTTAAAGAGAATCCGCTTTCTGTCGCCCAGGACAATGTAGGAGAGGATGACCGTGTACCTGAGAAGCATGTGGAGGCAGGATGAAGGCAGTTTGGTTTGAGAAACAGCTTGGAGACAATCAAGACAGAACGACACACTGTTTCTTTCTTTCTGTCGAGAATGTACTTGAGAAGCTGGTAGAGGCAGGGTGAAGGCAGTTTGATTTGAAAGGACGACTCCAAGGCAATGAAGTGACGCACCATTTCTTTCCTGCCGAGGACAACGAAAGAGAGGATGCACCTGTTCTTGAGAAGCAGGTGAAGGCTGGGGTGAAGGTAAACACAACTTCAAGACTCAAGACAATGAAGACAGAATGATACACCGT